TTCTTATTGAAGGTCGGTGGTTTTCTCCTGGGCACTCCGTCTTCCTCTACCAATAAAAACTGGCATTTATGAAATAGTCGAAAATGTGGCGCTTAAAAGTGGCGTTCAAACAGTAACAATCAATCAATCTTGTTCACGAAACTCCATCTCTTTAACAGACAGACCATATTATAAAAAATTGTTTCATAAAATAATTCAATCAGATAAAAAAGTAAATTTTATTTTCACGAGTAAGTGACATGGGGTTACAAGCATAGAAGGAGTTTCTTAATCAAATTTAAACGAATTAAATATTTTGACAGTTGGTGTATCTAACCGTTTCACTCTTTAACGATGAAGCTGACTTTGGTTTAAAGTCTATACGTTACTAACAGCGGGATCAAAGTTTTGCATTCCTGTTACTGTGGATGATTGTATAGAAATACCTCCTGTAGATGCAAACTCTTCTAGCTTCGACCAAAAAAGATCCGAATTGGGATCATGTGTTTCTTTTTTTTAACGTCCATACTTTCGCAGAAATATCTTTTTAGTGTATCGCGGCATCGGAATGTAGAATGTTCCATTAGATAGAACGAACCATCACACTTAAGTGCATCTAACCATCGCATGACTATCGTACTCCTGCGACCCATCACACTTTAGAGTCAAACATATATACATATAGAGCTTGCGCTTTTAAATCTTTAAAAGCAGCGTTTAATCTGGTAACTAGAAGGTTAGCTGCCACGTACAATGTGTCTAATTGAATCGAAGGTTAGAGCCATACTGGTTATTTAAGCTCGCGCATAATAAGGTACAATTCTGAAAGAAACAAAAATTGGAAAAGTCGTCACAACTGTTTAAGTAGATGGACAAGCGAAAGACGTTTTACATTTACTGTAATTTACTGTGCTTTTTAAATGATACAAAATCGCTTTCTGTTTAGGCAAATAACGAACATGCAAACGACATAACGTCCTTTCCTTCTGTAGAAGTAGTTTCTCTAAAGTAACTGAATGTATTGACAACGTCTTAGCCTACATCTTACCCATCTCGATTCATAGGTTATCACAGTACTAGTAGCTGGGAAGCACAATTTGACTTGATTTTACTATTCTCTTTTGCTAAATTTCACAATTCCCCAATCCAACTCCTATCTATCAATTAATACGTGTATATCGATAGAGTCACAGACGCACAAGTCAAAACAAAACCAATGTTGTTTTGAAACTTTTATTTAAATGTTTAAATCAATGAAGAACCGTTTATCGAGCACTGGTCAAGAGAGTCTACTGTGATATTTACGCCCTTCTGTATATTCAAAGTAAAAACAGTGTCATCAGGAACCCCGATTTGTTTAGTAGCATACTCGGATTTCTCAACGTTGTCATCCTGATGATATTTTTTATGTAATTTTGAAACAGCACAGGCATATGTGTTTAGCCTAATGATAAAACATCTGAAGTAATTTTCGGTTGAGAGTTCATTTTTGTTCATTTTTTTAAAATGCAGACAACGCTTACAACTAATGGAACGCTTGTTTTATCACGAGTTTCTTATACTAACACCTAAAAATCAGTATATACTGTGGAGTCATTATTAATCGTTGGATACCAATTTTCGTGGATTTCGTTGGTACAGTTAAACCACGAAATTAAATGTTCAACGAATGATGAATTTTCTATAGGTTTGTATGCAGACTTCAGCAAAACCCCGAAATTTAATATCCACGAATATGCAAGTTTTCCTTAATCCACGAAAATTGGTACCCAAGAAAGCAAAGGAATCCACAGTATATATAAAAAGATACTTCATCTTTCATAAATTCGATTGAGAGATAAAAACCTCTGATATAAAACAAATGTTTACTAATCTTCTCAATGCCCGGTACTTAGTGCAGTTAAACGAGCACATAACAATTTTGACAAATCTAAAGTCAATGCTCCCCTAGTTAATGTATTGTATAAGTAAATCTGTTTGAACCCGTTTAAATTAACAATGTATTTTAATTTGATTGGAACATTTATAAACAAATAAAATATACAGCCATTTCAAAATTAAAAAAAATATTCAATCTAGGTAGATAGATATATAGTGGAGAGGCGAATATTGAAAAAGTCGCTTTGTTAAAGAGTTTAAATTACCTAAATAATTCATGCAATTTTAATGTCTTAAGTTGTCTATCGATTATTCAGCTTTAGAAAAACGACGTTAAAAACAGCCGTAACTAACGTTACTCAACTTGCAACGAATACCTTAATGCTGATTCGGTAGACAAATCTCATAACTTACACCTTCTAAATATAATTTGTGAACGAATGTGGTAAATACAGTTACTCTTGAACCTCATACACTACAAGGGCATTTTAAGTATTCCTATATATAAAGCACAATGCATCTGAAAATGGTTAAAAATAGCACCGACAAATCCTCGTGTTTTACCTAGCATTATTTGCACGTGCAGTAAAGGTGTGTTTTAAAGGTACAACAGTAAAACTGCCGTATAATACTTCAATCGACCCGATTTACTTTTTTTAGTTAATTCGTAAGAAGATAAATATTTGGCTAAATATCTGCTTTTTATGAGGATTTCGAGTCCGGATATTTGTCACACATTAACCGACACTGCTGTGGTTTCTAGTAATACGCTATTAAGGGCATACGATACAGTTTTGATTCCACGATGAATCTTTGACGGAAGTTTGCATACAAGCTAATTTTCACCTAGTCAATTAAAATATGTAATAAAAAATATACCTTCATGTGCTACCTTTAGAGATAAATTGGTTGAAATTTTAGACATTTACTTGAAATGTCGGTTTCTTTGACATTTCTATCCTCTAGAAAGACATACCAAACTTTTTTGTTTCAAAAGATAAACGCAAGCGGATTTTTGTAACAACATTCGGAATATCTTCTCTACATAAGTGAACTTTGAATTTGTATAACAATGCTTTAGAAATAGTTCGTTTTTATTACATTATCTTGATTTTAGTAAAAACACGGCATTTTTTCCTGTATATTTATCTAGTTTAAAAAAAATCCATCGGTAATTTGTTCATAAAAATTGCCACAAATAATCTTCGTACATAATCAAGCCAAAAAGAGGGGTCAATGAACTCGTTTTCAAGTTAAATCAGTCTGAATGATAAAAATCAGTCGAAAAAAGCATCTTTTCTCGGTATCTCACAGATTGACGTCGTGAATAATAACATTTTACGTTAGCGACGTCATTATCTCCCCCGTAACTGTATCGTATGCCCTTAAACGAATGTCATTTGTAGTCATTATCAAGCTGCGTTCTTGTTCATTTTAGAATTTCGAAGCCTTGTGATTTTTTTTATGTTGTTTGGTATTGTAGTTTATTCGTTTATGTTAAATTTAACATGTTTAACAGAGAAAGTGAATATCATTGTAGGATTCGTTTCGTTTTCAGGTGTGTTTGGTTTGTTTTGTATTCAAGTACAATGGACAATTTCACTGTCTCATTAAAACTGGTTCCGCACGGTGCAAAGAAAAGGTGAGTTGTAATTGGTGTTTACATATGCATTATCTGCAGTTGATGAACTATTAATTATATTAACAGAATCTGGACGAATAATATCTGATGAATGCTGCAGCAAAGAGACGTGATGATTTGTTCGTTTTTTAAATGAATTCTGAAATAATACAGGAACTGAATCAACCGTATTTAGTTTTATAGGTCGTGTAATAAAGCTGCACAAGTAAGCACATTCTTCGGCTGAAAAGGAAGCACAAGATACAACGCCTTATTTATCTTTTTTTTTTTTGCTGTCTGAAAATAATGTTCATCCTCTCAATACATCAAAGTGTATTTTTTGCAAGAAACTATCTCATAAAAAGGTGATAACATAACATAGTATTGCATCTGTTGAAAGGTTTGCAAATCTAAAAGATGCTGATGCTAGAGCATGCGACGCTGAAATGATTTATCAACTACAGCAAGAGAATTTGCTCAATAATGCAGTTTATAATGTGGTTTGTTTGAACATACTTGACACAAAGAACAAAATACACTAATAAATACGCATATGATTTGGCGTTTGAAAGAGAAGTTGAAACTATAGACAGAGACCGTATTCGTTATAAAAAGTCTCTTGTAATGTCATCGATTTTGACAATGTACCAGACTTTTTTACCAAATAAAATTAGTAAGACCTACTGTTATTCCTCTAACCTAAAGGCTAAACGTGAGAAGCACTACTTGTGTTCGCTGCTCAACAAGAACAGGGTTAATCTAGCATTGTATTTGCTATCGATATTTCTATTGGAGATGGTGTTAAGGCCGCAAATGACGTCAATGCAGAATTAGAATTGGCAGCTTGAAGGATAACAGACGATTAATACCAGATTACGCTATTATTTCGTGTTTTGATCCAGTTGTAACCGGTATTCTGCCGATCGTTTATGCCTTGAGTGGGTGTGATTCCACTTCAATTTTTTTTGGCATCAGTCAAAAGTCAGTATTCAACCTCCGAAGGACGAAACCGAGCCGCTTCCTTTATCTGTAGCCTTAACACAGGAAGATATTGATAGTTGCTGCTAGTGTGTTTAATACTGCTTTATACGACTCGAAATACAAATTTAAGAAATCGTACAATAATTTAAATTTGCTGAGACATCATTTGACTATAAGTATAGATAAAAGTATTATAAAGCTTCCGCCATGTGAATCAGTATTCTAACAACACGTACTACGTGCTATGTGGCAAAGCAAAGTTTTGGTGGCGGCAAATTTGGCCAACCCAAATAATGGCTCACCGTGTGCATTTGGTTGTGCAAAATGACAAGCTGGAGCCAGTTTTCTTTGAGGGACAAATGGCATAAGACATCCTACAATAATCTTATTTGTACGTTTAAGGAGAATAATCATTCAAGGATGTATGTGTTTGCCCTGATTTGTGTTTTTGTCAAAATGTAGGTAGTTGCAACAATACCCAGGCCGTGTTAGCCGACATAGCTAATGACACAGATGAATTATCTTGAACATTGTTTTCTGACATATCAAGTAACTTTAATTTGATTCTTTAAACGTCAAAACAGTTGATAGTATTACTCATGCTATACCAATTGACCATACTGAATCATAACAGAAAAACAAAATGAACGGAAAAAAATATCGTGACACCTTACGAAATAGAGTATATAAATGACAAAGAACCCGTAGAGATAATACCATACAGTACGCAAGTTTTGTTAGTTTTGAACATCAAAGTGATCATAATTGTTAGATTCGTATTTATGCATGTTTATTGCGGAATGGTCATAAGTGTCATCTGAATCAATTATGTTCGGAACATGGTCATACACATTCACACTGTCTTTTTCCTGAAGTTGTACACTACTTAAATGGTCGTAGTCTGTATTATCTGTGTTAATATTCATTTCACCTAGGTCTGTTATTGTCTTTGCGAGGCCGTAGTCAGCAGATGTCATCGTATTCGCCAAGGAATTTGAACCTTGTTTATCTCCACTTTGATTGGTCTGTGTATCGACCTTTACTTGAAGATCGTTGTATCCTGGATTTGCAATAGCATTGATTGTTTTCTCTGTAAGATCGGATGCATCAACATTTTCCTCTTCTGCTGCCTTCTGTACATGTACCTTTGTATTATTAGCTGATGGAGGCTTTGTAAAGGAGTTTGGACTTACTGTCATGTCAATTGCGTTACTTAGAGCCTCTGAATGTTTTTCCAGTCTATACATATTATTCGTAGGTGGGTCTCTTTCACTACGATTAGCCTTACGTTTCGGGGATTTAAAGTTGAATCTGAAATTATTTAATGATCATTTTACATTACAACGATATAATTCAGAATATTAACATTTGATTAAAACTCCATGTTTGTGACGTGTCTAAAACATTTTTTACATTTTAAATACGGAATGGAAACTTGGGAGGCATATGTCAAAGAGACAACAACCCGATCGAAGTGCAGGAAAAAGAGCATAAGACCTACAATGGGTTTTTAACACAGCGATAAAATTCCGCCCCGGACGCCGGTTTTTATCTGGCGCTTAACGATAATGTATACCAGTTCAGCGAAAATGGAGGCCACACTCAACTGCAAACAAACAAATGAACAAAAATTAAACTATATACAAGATTAAGAAATGCTAGAGGTTTTGGAGTTGCAACAGGCGACGAGATTAGGCAGAGTTAAACATGTTTTGTGAGATCTATTAGCAGTAACTGCTTGGTCAGTTCCAGACTTCACTTAAACTAATCGGAAGATCATGTCGTTGTCAAATGAAAATCAACCACAACCACTAAGGGCTTGCTATCATTCCATCATATTATAGGTGAATAACATAACCAGTACCATGCCAACAATTGGTTGGATAATAAATGTGTTTATTCTGATAGATAAACACTATAAATCCTATATCAAAACATTGCTATTTTTAATGATTTGAAAGTATCGTAATTTAAGCCCTTGAGAATCGTATGTTTGAAGGTTCGGTTAAGTTTTTAACTGATAGACAAAATGTTCATTGATGCACATTCGTGATGTTTATATAACACCATACATGACCATGCGGAATGAAATCCCTTTTTTAAATACAATAGCAGTAGGAAATGTGTGTGAGCGCCTGTGGTAGATACCAGATGCATTGTTTAGGACTATATAGAATTAACATGATTAATGAACATTCACAGTAATGCATGTATTTATATTTTTACATACCTTATAGTACAAAGAACTCTCAAAAACTAGTACACAAAAAATATTGTAGCAAAAATAAGTGAATTATATAACCTCATCATAGATAACAGGCTTAAAATTGTGTATACTAAACTATAAATGACAAAATTATACAAACCTTCTATATGTGAATATAACTATAACTACGACAACCCCAATCACCAACATCGATGTTACTGTTCCAGCAATTATACCTAAATTAAAATATATTTCATAATAATAGTATAGCGAATCTTTTACGTCATCTCCAGATGTCTTATTGGCAATCATGTTTCTTTTTCTTCTTCTTTATACATTTATAATACATTGAAAGTTTTAGAGTACCTTATAACGTGCATGTGATTGATTATTTTCAAACAGAGAAGCGTACATAGTGTATATTTGAATAATGCAAGTAGACATGTAAGTTTCGTAATCCTTTAAAAAGATACTAATTTCTTATGATCAAATAACTCTTAAGATCGCGTGGTAGAGAGTTGTATCTATATTGCAAGGTATTTAAAGGAGACATCAGTGCAAAGAACATTATCCCCTCTACGTCAAATGAAAATGAAAAAAAAATACAATTCAACCTCTTTTCTTTCTTTAATAAGTCGAGTTCTCGTTAACAAACAACAAGGGAAATAACATGCACAAATACTATTTCTAAATGAGTGGAATCTGTTACAAACGAATTAAGTCTTTAAAACAGTAGCTTAATATACCTTAAAGGCTCAAATGTTTACGGTCACCTTTGTGTACTTGGTTTGCGAAACAAACAATATCGTGTGTTTAAAGAAACTAACGTCTTCACTTTTTAAGAAGGAATTCGTATTGATTATTCAAGTAGAAACCGAAAAATCTAAATATATTTCGTAGATGCAATTCTAAATCACTACAAACCAGTAAAAGTCTGAAATGGCCTATTTCTGTACTCGACTGTACTGATTTTTACTCGACCAGTCTGAATTGGTCTGAATTTTACTCGACATTACTCGACCCAAGTCTTAACCATACTCGACCGTACTGATTTGTACTTGACCCTTATCTTTGCCATTGAAAATAGTCTGAACTATTACTCGACCAGTCTGAAACAGTCTTAACCCATTCTCGACCTGTACTCGACCAATTTTTTCAGTCTAAACCATACTCGACCAAAGGTCTGAACAATACTCGACCAGTCTGAAGCATACTTGACCAAAAAACCTATACTTTTTTTCTAATTTCAGTTGTTAAAATTAATTTCTTTTTTTCTGACATGACAACAGCCACAATAAATTTAAAATAAAGATATATATAAAAACATATTTTGTCATCCTTACATGATTCTCAGATTTATCAAATAGAGATAGTTAAATTAAATTATCTTATATAATAATTTAATTATATTAATTTTAAAGTTTTAGAGTTTTGTTAAAAAAAAAGATTTTCTTTTAACTAAAAACCACACCTTTACTGAGGGTAATGAAACCTTATTAAGGTGCTTCTTGATTGGCATGTGTTTTTTTGTTTTTTTTTAACTTAATTTTCCTAAATTCCTAAAGAAAAACTATATAGGTTTCATGGTTACATACAATAGTTATATAATTATCTTTTTAATGAGGCAACAACAGCCAAAAAATCTCTGAAATTGTTTAACCTCATATTAGAAAAATATCTATTCTTATTATGATTTGGGATATATTATATATAATATATATCAAAAAAGGGATAAAAAAATTAAAGAAATAGATAAAATTGTTCTTCTGATTAGTGGTAAAGTATAAAGTAATACCTCCTGCTTGTGGCAAACTCATTTAAAAGATCACACCTGGTCAGAGAGTATTAATTTCTAATTAGCATTCATTAAAAATTGCAACATCCTGTAAAACTTAAATCGCAAGGCCTTTTGAATTCACTAGATAAGTAATACACGAGTTTAAGAAAAACTGGGCTTTCTTTTTACCTGTAAAACACACATGTACTGAGGTAATTAAACCTATTTAAAGTGCTTCTTGTATGCCATGTCTTTAATTTTGACAAAAGTTATTTAAATTTAATTGAAATAAATTTTTTCTGCAACTTTGGAACACATTTCCTTTTTTAAATGGTTATCAAGGATTGCTATGGAAGTTCTATTATCATGATTATATTAAATTCTTGGTTTTACAAAACAAAGGTGTGATTTTTAAAATTTATTAAGTTGCTTTATATACTATTTTAAATATATTTTAATAAAAAAAATGTTCACTGCATTATTAACTACACTCAACTGACACCATAAATCTATACAAGGCTTAAGTAAATGGTGAAAATTGTCCAGTAACCATAAAATATATCTGAAACATTCAAAAAAAATTTGAATAACATTGAAAATATTAGTCACAATTCAGTTTTAAGATTATTTGATCAGCTTGTTTTATTTTTATTTTAAAGGTGATATATATATGTAAGTGTTGATAAATATGGTGTTGAATTTATATTATGTTTATTGTGAAATTTAGGTTTCAATGCCATATTGAATACATTTTAAATTTCAAATTGTTGTTCAAATTTCTAGCCAGGGGAAATAGCTGTTAAAAACAGTTCGGAATCCTAAATTGATGAAATACAATAGATAGATACAAAAATTAGGTCTAAGTTGGTTAAGACTTAGTCAAGTATGGTTCAGACTAGGTCGAGTATGGTTCAGACTAGGTCGAGTATGGTTCAGACTAGGTCGAGCATGGTTCAGACTAGGTCGAGCATGGTTCAGACGAAAATAAAATGGTTAAGTACTGGTCGAGTACAAGTTCAGACTGTTAAGTATGGTTCAGACTACAGTCGAGTATTATCAAGTAAATTTCAGACCAATTCAGACTGGTCGAGTAAAAATCAGTACAGTCGAGTACAAATATAGGCCATTTCAGACTTTTACTGGTTTGTAGTGTATTAAATCAGACCTGTTTTGAGTTCAGAATTTCAAGAGAGAAAATCATTCTTTTAAAAATTACACTTTGATGCAAACAATAGTTAATAAAGATTATTTAAAGGTTTTTGGACGCCTTTATTTTTTTTAATTGACTGCTATGGAATATGTAACCAGGGACATTGTTCCTGCCGTTAGAGCTATTGTTTCTTCTTCTTCCTTTATAATCAAAAGAGGTCTGTCCCCAGATTAAGATATGTCAATGGCAACAAGTGAAGGTGAATCAGGAAAAAAACGCATTTCTTAGCGCAGTTATATTTCAAATCTGGTTCCTAAGATTATTGTTGTAAAGCTTGTTTTGGGCAAGTCACATGACCACGTTTTACCTGATTGTTGATTTCTCTTGCAATTTGCAGTGTATGCGATAAAAATGCATATGAACCAATATTTGGCATAATTTGTAATCATCAAATGAACTACTTTCAGCTCTCGGAAACTTCCAGAAATCTTCATTGCAAGGTATTGTGTATGTGTCCCATGTTTGAAGTCATCGTGTACTGATTTTAATGTTTTTTGGCGAAAACAAATGGTGTAAATACATACTCATCGACTGACACTTAAATAAGGGTCGAATCTGGAATTGCACAATTGTATCCTTTTCCCCGTTTATGACATTTTGACTATGTTGCGATTTTAATGGCGAGTAATCAGGAGATATAACCTACATGTATGTATGTCGACTCATCCGGTCGCGATCATTTCGGATGTCATGTCATTTCTGCATATCATGTGTGTATGTGTCCATGGATTGTCGGCATAATCGATTTATGAAATGTGAACATCAGTAAATTGCCTGTGTCTTGATTAAGTCCTATTTTGTGACAAATCATACGGAAGAAATGAAGACATACTTATTGTATTTAAATAAGAAAATGTGGTATGAGTGCCAATGAGACAACTCTCCATCCAAGTCACAATTAGGAAAAAGTAAACCATTATAGATCAAAACACAGCTTTAAACACGAAGACTTGGCTCACACCTAACAACAGGCTATAAAGACCCCAAAATATTAGTACAACAGATAGAATAAATTCGTTTTCAACTGTAACACCAACTATTTCAAAGCAGCCAATCGGCTGAATACCATACTGAAAACATTCAATGATCATGTTTTGCAATAGATTTTCTATTTCAGGTTAAATGCAATTGGTGTGATCCATATTACCTCATCATATAAAATTAATCAACGAGGTTATAATATAAAGTGGGACAACTGTCCCTCTGGTATCTTTCGCCCCTCTCTTAAGAACGACATTTTCTTTTGTTTCTTTGATCGGAATCTAGCCAACTGAAAATCATGTTAGAGGCCGTCTTGGCATCGTACTGATGGGTTTATTGTGACATTAACTAAAGATGAAAAGCATCCGTATAAACGTTGTTGTTCTGTCTTTAATTTTGCCAAAGATATGCAGGAATTGTTTGTCCTGAATTTATGCACCACATCTTTATAAAACAACAAAAATGAGCCTTCAAAATTTACATAACATATATTGTATAAAAATTATGGAATTAAGAAATATCTGTCTTTGAAACATTCATATTCAGTTAATTTCGTATTGACATTTTACCTGAACTCTGATTGTCTGTATCTTCTGTATCAGGGTCTAAAAGTCAAATTCACACAATTAACAAACAGGATAAAGAAATTGAGGGGCTATAATGAAGTATAACTCGAAGGAAAACGCTATTACACATTTACAAAAAAAAAATACTTACAAAGATACAAACACACAAGTTCGCAAATGACAACTGAAAATCAATCCTATTGTGTCGATTTTAATTACTATCCATCGGATTAAGTTTGTTTTGTCGACACTGGTTTCTACTATTATTGCAGCAATTTTGTCAATGTCAAATTACTTGTTTATTGCAGAAATGATATGATATATATTGGGAAGATGTATGCCTAACAATTACTGCTGTACCCCTTTTTTGACATTTTTGTGTCTGTTTGTTTTGTTCACACATCGTTGTCAATGTGATGGAATTGTATGCGACAGTTAAGCAGGTGGGTGGTTTGGCTGGTTGTAGAGCAAAGATTAATCCACCATCTTCTACTTAAGAAAATGCTTATACCAAGTCAGGAAAATTACAGTTCTTGTCCATTTGTTTGGTGTATTTGAGCTTTTCAATTGTTCCATTTGCGTTATGACTTTACGTTTAGAAATTTCCTCGGAGATCAGTATTTTTGTGCTTTTACTTTTCACACAGGACGTTTAATACCATCTTCAACATCATATATAGATATAAGAAGATGGGGTATGAGTGCCAATGAGACAACTCTCCATCCAAGTCAAAATTTATTCATATTTCACACCGTCAGGAAGTTTAATTTTATCATCGTTCATCACGTGAGAACTGTCTTACGTTAACCACTGATAACCATGACCGTAAACAAAATAATCTATTTCATATATATCCTAATTTTTTTAGTGTTACCCTGAATTTATAAAAAAATATTTTTTTTATTTTTACATGTCATAGAATATACAAGCAGAAGTAATGTTATGTCTGATTTTGCTTTTAACTAATCCAAAAGACTAGAAAATTATTTTTTCTGTACACTGAATAAAAACAAAAACAAAATCTCGCTTACCTATATGATATATTTGTTGTTTTACTTTACACTAACATAACACATGACATTTATTGCTGCTACAGTGAACGTATCTTACCTTCAGACCGACACACATGGTTTGAAATAGTGTTTTTGATTGGTTCCTCCTGAAGATCTATTTGAGTGTCTGTAAAATCAACAAACTAATGGATCAAAAGTCCACGAATCTTTTATTGGTTCTAACTTTATTCGATCTGTCATAAAATCAAGCTCAGTAGAAAGTATATAATCTAAATTTTAAGATGTTTTTTAAACATTTTGATTTCTAATCTGTATTTATTCGGCAAATCATCATGTTCAACATTTTTGATTTTTACACCACTTCTATCATGTTTTCTATGATGGCATTTTTTTTTGCACACATTTTAAACCTTGGGTACGTGGAAAAGTAAACACGTGCTTTTTCTAAACATGAGTTGCCACATTTATGCTGATTTGTCCCATATTGATTTAAAATATTGCTCTTAATTTAATGTTCGGTTATATACATAAGAAATTGTTTCGTCATTTGTTATATCTGATTCTTATATGATTATAGTTATCAAAGGTACCAGGCTTATAATTTAATACGCCAGACTCGCTTTTCGTCTAAATAAGACTCATCAGTGACGCTCTGATCAAAATTGTTAGAAAGCCAAACAAGTACAAGTTGAAGAGCATTGATGACCCAAAATTCCAAAAAGTTGTGCCAAATACGGCTAAGATTATCTTTGTCTGCTTGTTTCGATTTGTAAACAAAACCGTGATAAAGTTATCGATAAATTTATAATAAGCCCAGACTCAGAGATATACATAGTAATTGCTGTTATTATATACCTCCCATGAAAATTCACATGTATCGTAAACTATTTGCAAACGCTACGCCGATTTTGTTGTATTAAAAATTGAAATTGAAAAAAGAATACAGAACCTTTATTATTATTCCAATGCATAACGAATAAAGCATTACAGCTCGGAGAAATGTGCAAAATCAAAATCAAATAAAATTCAGCAAAAGTCCTTTAGTGCGTTTTAAATGACGTAATACACATGAAAACACAACAGCTGAAGGTCGTTCCGTTACGTGAACCATGGAAACGGATAATATCGCATTAAAATGGAGTTTTTTATGTTGGTCTTGTTTTATTTTCTATTCCATTGATTTATTCGTAAATCTACTGACTCATTATTTTTTGTGATTTCAGCAAGTCAATATGGCGGCTGCTATCACAGAGAATGGAATATTGTTGATAGATTACTTATATAAGTACAAAAATGTATATACTTTTCATTTAATGTTATATATGTTATAAATGAAAATGCTGTATTTACTATACTGAGGTAGAAATCAATGTCTAGATGAATTGTATTGAAAACTCACCACAATATTCTCTCTCACTCTCATTCTCTCTCCATTTCTCTCTCTCTTTTTCCGGTGTTCAGACTGCTTTACTTTCTATCTTATATTTGTATATTTGAAGAAACAAAAATTGCTTCCTAATAGAAAGATGTATTGATTAGATAATATCAATATATTTATAACATCGCTATTATATTTGTGTATATTATGTTGTAAATTGTAAGTTATAAATAATAAATATTAAAAACAAACACCAAAAAAAACAAACAAAAACTTGTAACTTCACAAAGTACCAGTAACCCTACCCGTAAACATTATTCTGATTCTCAGCAGACCAGTCGTCGCTTTTACTTCATAATGCTCTAGCTTAACGGAGAGGCAGATAATATTAATTTTTAAGTATTTGTTTTGACAAGGTTTCGAACCAAGGCTTCTTTTCACTAGATGGAATTACTAATGGTTCCAAATTTTTAAACTTTTTTACTAATTATGTCTGTTTGTTTTGCTCACACATTTGTATTAATATAATGAAATTCTATTCGACTGTCGTATAAGTAAAAGATAGCATTTTTTATATTGAGCAAGGCATTTCGATTTCAATACTCTTTAACTTTACTCTTGTATGGACTTCTTGCTTTGAGCGTCTGTGTTGAGTCTAAGTAGATAAAATGATCGTCTTGCAGTAAAATTTGAAACCCTACTAATTTCTAACCGATTTTTTCTTTCATTATCTAATATACTTACGACAATACGATCTGGCATATTCAAAACAATCTTTTGTGTAAAATATTGGCATCGCGCCAGTATAGTTACATTGGTAAGACAGGCAGTCATGGTTATTACCCGCTAAAGTTATTGGTCTATCAAAAACTGGAGATTATAAAATAAATGAAGTATTTTAAATTAGATTAAAATAATTATGCAAAAACTTTGTATCATTTATTTTGCTTTCATATCAAAAGATTGTACATTTGCATAGTGTAGCACATTCATCCACGTTATACACGCAAATACGTGTATTGTGTTGATTGGCTTCAAATCATGGAGAGAACAAATCTTCACAGTGCATGTATGCAACAGGTGTTGTATTCAACCATGTGTACTTATGTTAATATTGTAATACAGTACGGAAACCATGTTTTAAAGATTTAATACCCGACAACATATTTGAGGTTTCTGCATTGACAATCTTAAAACATTTAACCTTTTATCTTAATCTTGACATATGAAATAGGTCTTTCCAATTGCCAATAGACAATTGTCTCCGACTTTTTCCGATAACCTTGAAAATGGTGAAATGAATTTACATTGCTTTCGAAATACAAAATTCTTAGTTCGATATATTCTAATCCATGTTATCATTAACGAACAAGAACATCAGTTTTTCCGAAAAAAATATGTTTAATGTTGTTTTAGGCAACAAAAACTTAAAACAAATGAGATTTTGAATTTTGCATTAGTAATGAGTGTTAATTTTCCTTATTGACAAGGTGGCACAACTTAGATATAACTTAGTGAACACACTGTTTGATATAAGCTAATTAGACTTATTTTAAACTAAAATAAAGTTAAATCCTGCCCACCAAGCCTATACTCTGTACATATAGATGAAGACAATATTACGGTACGAGTGGTCAATTTTTGTTTACCTTGTATAGCTTATTTTGAACATGACTCCGTTTTGAACTAAGTAAAATTGCAGTTTCCATTGCATTTTGAAATTGTTTGTTATTCAAGACGGAAGTGTATATTCAAAAACGGTTTCTGCCATTACTTTTGAAATGTATCCGTCTAGTTGCTTGTTCGACATAGCATATGCTTCATTTAAAGCCGGGAGGAACCACAAGATATTAATACAAACCTTTGTATACAACAACGTGTGTATTGTAGTCTCCACGATGTATAAATTCTTGACAGAAACTTGCATTGTCAGTCTCTTTCTCCACTACATCATGTTCATCAAAGCACACGCATCTCTCATTCTACAATGTACATTTAAATTAAGAATGTTCATTTCTGATTTTTTAGCTTTTCGTGTAATTTTGAAATCATAACCTATTACTGCAACATAACCCTAGTTTTTGATTTCCTCAACTGTTTCTTTCTTTTTAGGTTTGGTTATGTCCTGCAGTTAGGAATATGTTTTAAACTTTTCTTTTGTGGTATTCGAGACAAATATAAAGTCCAAAACCTAACACAAAGTAAAATAGCAAATCAAATCGGTCTCGAATGTCAATTAAAAACGGAAAGTCCCTTATAAAATGTCAAATTAAAATGCTTATACATATCAAACAAATGGTAAGCAACTGTCATATTTCTGACTTAGTACAGGCATACATTCCAATTCGAAATGGGACAAAAAGGAAACAGTAAACAGGACGAGCGTATCTGGACAACAAGGCAATTTTTTTCAATAACACATCGACTAAAAACTAATTTTGTAAGCTGCAAATATTCAACCTAGTCATGTGATTCTTTTAAAGAATCAATGAACCCGAGATAAATTAAAGAATTGTAACAAACAAAGTCATAATGTAATGATTTTGTCATATACCTATATATAACGATACCTTTAAGATATTTACAAGTTTTGGAAGAAAAGATTTTGACCAGACATGCCAAAACAGACAACCATCATTCTCTAAGTGAATTATTGTACAATATATTATATGAGGGATCATTGTGTTTATGTTAAATTGTATAGTTCCTAAACGACGACAAAATATGAGATTTGATGACGAAAATGGGATGATATTTGTCCTACGACTCTATCAAGGATAAGAATTGAAATTTTAGCTTCAGATAAATTCAATATATCATTAGTTGTTCAAATACTCCGAGTACTCTCAAATCTGTTCTTTGCGATTGTTTAATTGTGTGTATGTGTTCTTTTTATGGATCTGATGAGATAAAATATTCTATCTGAAGTTTATGGGTTATGCGGTAAGTCTTTAGAATTTTTAAACTAAAAATACGATTCTGACATTTTTACTCTAAAACAGATTTCCAAGAGTATTTAACCTGGAATAGATATAGACATGATAGACTGTTTTATAAAAAAAACTTGAAAAGATCAGACTTTGACGAATAAATTAAAACTGCGCCACACTTGAATGAGCTCCATGACTGATCAACTTACTTTTTGGTTAAACGCAAAATATCGTCTGTTCATGCATTTTAATTGGCACAGTTTTGAATTTGCGGCATTTTTTTCATCTATTTCTAAGCTGTTGCATGTAAGTGGTATATTGTAACAACCTTTAATAAAAAGAAATAAAAAATAAGCTTAAAATAGATAATATGGAAACAGTTTATGTGCCAATTGGATCATTTTCAAACCATTTTTTTCACAAACATGAATGATTTGAACGTATTTGCTTGCTATTATCAATACTTAAACACTAATTGTGAAATGAAAAAAAGTAAAATATCAGTACAAAAACTTACGTTTATAACATGCATAAACAGGAAAAATATTACAACACTAGATGCGCGTTTTGCCAATCATTGTCTCTTCAGTAATGTTCAACAAAAACATATTTGAACATCCAAGACCTAATAGAATAGTTGAATAAGTGGCGCAACTAACTCAGACAACAGCATTATTATCAAAACAGGACAACGAATCAGAGTTTTCCTTGAGGGTTTTAGATGGCTTTAAATTAAAATTCAATTTTTAAATGATAATGTTTTGAAGCTAGGTTGTATGATTAAATTTAATAGGGGGACAAAGTGTATCCCTTAATAAAACAATATCAATACGCACATTTAACAAACATTAAGCTAATAAATATAGATTTTATCGAACACATTTTTTTTATATGAAAATTGGGAAAAAAAATTGCACTACAGCACAACCAATCAATCAGTTCTATATTTCCATTCTGCAATACCATATGCATGTATAATTCAAAAATTTATAATTCAAATACCAAAGTCAAGCCCACTGTTCCTTTCATTTCTTGCTCCAGATTGAACATCTTAAGCTTACAATGTCATAAAAGAATGGAATGAAAAAAAGAAAAATGTTTTCTCTAAGTAAAAAATAACCGAAACACTTTATAAATAACCTACCTCTTATTTCAATCCAAGGAAGTAAAGCTTCGAAGCTGCCAACCCAAATACTTATATTTACTTTGGTATGATTGAGCATGTACTGTTTAAGAACAGTTGAGTTGCTTTCCAAAAACGTGTTATTCTCATAGCAATCTAAAACCGCTTGTTTCCATGTTTTCATTGTAGATTCCGATCCGCTAACTGAAATTGATAGGTATTTCCTCATACGTAAATCTGGTGTTAGACTATGCTGTAATCAAACACTCTATTGGTGAAGGAGACACAGTTACATATACATCATATTAAGAGAAGATAACATCACCGACAATTGTAAGATTAACAAACCAGAGCCTTATTAAAAACTGAAACTGATTTGTCTCAAAAAGGTAATGATGATTTCTTAGACTTGATATAATAACGATGTAACATTACTCATAAACATTAAAATTTGAAGCAAAAAATAGCAGAACGCTATATACAGTACGTACATATATTCATTCAAATATAAACTATCAAAATCGACCACGAATACTTCATTTATATAGTTCATCGATAAATAATATCAGTCGTATTCATAAGTATGAAACAAAACATTAAATGGTTTAACGTCATGGTACGTATTCTCATTCATGACAGCAGGCAAAAAGAAGAACATATATAAAGTGTGTCTATCATCATGTCATAATAGCAATGAACATACAGTAAATAGCTCTCTCTCTATATATATATATTATACTACACTACATGAAGCCCACTTCCAGGAAACGTATCACTAGATTTACTAAGGCTGTACGTGTATACAGCATAGTTCATTGAGTGGTTTAAGGCTCTGTTAAAATTCATGATTAGTTGATAAAATATGACCGAGACATATATTTAAAAGTAAATAAAGTCATTACTGTTGGATATATACATATACAAGTGCTTTTTATACCAAAACATTTTATCATTACTCACCCTTTCCACATTTCCAGGATAATACCAAAAGTGTAATCCAAACATATGTGTGTGGACGGATATGCATGCCTTGTCTTATTTCTTAAAGTGTTCTCTGAAATTAAGTTCTAATAAGTGAAGTGTTTTTGATATGACAGCAACTGTTATAAGTGAGATGCTTGGAATTACAAACAAATACAACATTTCAATTTCCTACTTTTAAGCCGTATAGAATAATATAGCTAGGAATTTTCAAAGAGGAATACAATCGATTAAGTAGGACCAAATTTGACAAAACAGATTCTCAAAACTAACTTTCTACATCGTTTCTCGTTTTTTATATAAATTAGACCGTTGGTTTTCCCGTTTGAGTGATTTTACACTCGTCATTTTCGGTGCCCTTTAAAGCTTGCTGTTAGGTGTAAGCCAGGAAGGCTCCGTGTTAAAGACCGTACTTTTACCTATAATGGTTTACTTTTATAAATTGTGACTTGGTTCTGGTTCGTGAGTTGTCTCATTGACACTAATACCACATCTTCTTATATCTAGTATAATAAAAGGAAACATGATGAGCGGAAAGATGAATATTGTATTGATCTGTAACTAAATTAATGAATATTTAAAAAAATGGCAGTCAATAAACAAAAGAGATCATTATTATGAGTAAAAACTGTACATGTGTTACCATTCAATATAGACCAACTACTTATAGATATTGAACGGTTTGTGCTAATTAAATGTTACACTAATACATGATATTAAATACCTAGAAATTTCGTATCACATTTGAAAATAAACATTGGTTTATTTGGTCTTGTCATCAGCTTTGCAAAAAAAGGTCACAAATAGTTCACCAATGTCACTAAGGATAAAATGGCAATTACTAAACCATCATATCATCTGAAAATGATCTTAGCTCCTCCTCAGCTGGGATTTTTTTTTTGAGAATTGTCATGGTTTAGACATTGCTATAGAACCCTTTGTGTCATTTATTAATAATCATGTTGTTATTCATTATAATATTTACCCTGACTCTTAACAGTGAACTGTTGATTCATTATTTTTCGTTGTATACCAATCTTCGTGGGTACAAGTTAACCACAAAATTAAATGTTCAATGAATAACCAATGTTTTATAAGCTTGTATGCGGACTTCCGGCAAATCCATTGAAATGATTATCCACGGAAATTGTACTTTTTTTATTTCTCGAAAATTGGTACTCACAAAAATAATTGTATCCAAAGTATCTACAATGTATTGCAAATAAATGTGAACATTAAACATAAATGTGGTTTCTGTAAAAAATGTCAATGTCTGAAGGTCAACGAGTCAGGACATACGACTGATGTTAAGAAAGCAAATAAAGATATACAAACGTTTTGACTTGAATTATTCTTCATACACATTCCTTGCATTGTTTTTGTATCTGTTTAGCTATAAGAATTATTATTTTCTCACTGTGTCGGTGTTTTTATATTAAGTCTCGAGCACCACTGGAAAGAGCTACCCTTCATATGTGCAGACGTTGCATTAAATTACCAGTAAATTAAACTTGGATCTTGATGTTAAGTTGACGAAAACTAAACATAATCGTTAGGTACCATATGAAATATACAATTTACCTTAGGTGATGGTGTACGATTCCATTGCAAAATATTGTTTTGTCAGCTTTTTTAAATTCAAAGACGGGTTACAACCAGGACTTCCTTTTAACTCCTAAACCACTGAAACAATTATGTCCTCCAATTATGAAGATTGTTAAAACATATACCGAAAACAATTTCCGAATTCACACTTTAAAAACAGTAAACGAGAAGAGAGGAAAACAAGCTGCAACATTTTTTAATACAGTAACTTGTTTAAATGCATGTGATAAACATAACAGGAAGTTTTTCAAGGATGTCTTGTTACACACAAAAGACTATTTAAAAATGTATGTCATACTTTACGTATACTTTAAATACATAATTTGATATAGTGTCACCAAGAAATAGTTTAAAGGTATTTTGTGTAATTTTCGTATCATAATGTTTAAATAAATACTAGTACACATTTCGTAAATGTAACACATAAACAAATATTATAAAAGATCTCATTCGTATTAAAGTTTAGTCAGCTCGTTAATATTCGTTTAGATGACGTTATTCTAGAGAAGTGTCTGTCTATTGTGTGTTAGAGAGAAATGGGTTTCTTGCTAAAAAAAGCGGTTGTTGTTCAAGTTCAATGTGATATTAAGTCATTTAGAAAACTATTTTACATTGAGGAAAAAAATCTTCGTCAGGGTAATCACCAATTTCTCGTCCATTTTGTTCCTTTTTTGTTTATATTAGTTCTTGAGAAAAATTGAAGATACTAAGGGATATTCAAAATTCTGAAGTAGAAGGGAATTGACAATGCAATGACGACAAAAGAAAGACACCATGATTTCAATCCATGGTCACCAAGCTTCAAGGCTGCCAAACCCATATGTTCTGTCATCAGCAAATACTGTTATATTGTTTTATCAAAAATTGTGTGTTGATTATAGCAATGTAAAGCAAATTTGGTCCATATTAAAGTCGTTTTTGGGAATCCCGTGACTAAGACCACATGCATTTTATTAAATGTTTTAACCGTTCAGGTCAATATAGACATGAGATTAGTGTCTTAATAATATTTCTCTTATGGTTGTGGCCAGTTATTTAATTTCTTGCATGAAAAGATATTTCTCGTATCACACTACACGGAGTGTGATACGAAAAAGTGATACAAATATCTGCTTTAATTTTATTGGCTTATTGAATATCACAAGACGATATTGCGTCATGTCCATTGGCTATTTGCTAGGTCATTGATGACTTTCAAAGGTTAAGACGATAAACATTTCGTCCATGGCAACACACATCTATGTGATTTCTTCAATAATATACAAAATACTCACACTTTTCACCTGACAATCTTCTTTTTGACAAATTTTATTACATTCTGAATCATACAAAAAGTCTTAATGTCTGATTTTAAAGTTTGACTCTGGAAATGGACATTTGAGGTCATACTGGAATGTACAAAAGACTAGATCAACATTTCGCGGAATTTTCAATTTAACACATTGAGAGTGTTGACCATAAGAGAAAAAGGTTTAACAAATTTTGAAAATTGGATATCGCTTGATATCAACTCTCGTTATTTAATTTAAATAGTAATAATAAACTCGCCACAGGCTCGTTCATTATTATACTGAAATTAAATAACTCGTGTTGATATCAAGCGATATACCATTCTTACTCGTCATGAAACCTATAATAAGTTTGATGTATGATATACCCTTGATGATCAATATATCTCTTGATGTTTCTGTATGTTGCCCTGATTTTCTGTTTGTTTTGTAATTTAGTTAAGACTGGAATATCAAATATGAATGGCGGCGTTAATTCTGTCAATAAACTACTGGTAAAGTTACAATGAATTGAAATCCTGTCTGTTATCGTTATTGCGGTGTCAGTTTCCCTTCGACTTTAGAGTTTTGAAAGTCAACTTGGAATTGTCTGCCTCTTTTTGTAGAACAATATAGTTTGCGCATTGTTTATATGCGTGTCTGAACAAGATTTGATTTAATGATAGTATACATGTAGCTCAACGTTTGTCATTCAAGCTGTTGTATTAATACAATAAAAAAAGTACAAACCTTAAAACGCAAGAAAAATCTAAGAAGAAACACGTGAACGTCCGCCCCTCGCTGCAATTGCAATACATAAGATAACTGATTAGTGCCTCATTTAATATTCTGTTTTCGACCCGTATTTCTGAAAAATTTTGCAAGTATGTTGAATAGTTATTCTGCGGATTTTTGTCTTCCTTCTACATGTTTCACCATTTTTATCAGTAGTTTATTGACAGAAAAACGCCGCCATATATATTTTACATCCCGTCATTGCGTTATTGCTATCGTAAATGTTTGTATTCTTGACATTTTTGCTAATATGCTTTTTCTATAGGACTTTTTATTTTTCTTTGTCGATATATTTGTTTGTCTTTTTAAGTGGTTAAGATTATAACATAATGTTGACTGCTGTACACCTATGTATGACATTTTTACCTTTTATGTCTGTTTGTTGTTTTTACACATTGTCGTCATTATAATGGAATTGTATGCTACTGTCAAACACGTGAGAGGTTTAGCTAGCTTTTAAACCAGGTTTATTCCACCATTTCCTACATAAGAAAATGTCTGTACTAAGTCAGGAATATGAGAGTTGTTATTCATGATGTGTTTGATGTGCATGAGCGTCGATTTTAACAGTTGATAAGGGACTTTCCGTTTTAAGTTTCCTCGGAGTTAGGTATTTATATTACTTCGCCGTTTTTTTACACAGACTCAATGAACGTGTAATTATATCTCACCTTGTTTACCTTTTGAGAAAAAAAAGAACATTAAAAACAAAACTATATTGCAAAATTGTGTCAGGGATTTTATACGATAAAACATAACTTATTTTTGTATATTATTGCACAGCATTAATATTTGTATATCATTCATTTTACAAAATTATTTTAAAATAACCATCAGGAAATAATTCAATCGGACATGTTTACTGTGTATTTATATCTTTCTGTTAAACATGTTAAAAGACATTTTTATTTCTCATTAATTTTGTAGTCAAGATAGAGTGTAAAGTTTTTAAAATATATAAGATCAATTGTGAAAAGACCCATATCTACTGATGCATTCTTAATTTGGTCCCCTGTTATCTTAGTTTAATGTATGTCGTTGGATTGCTGTCTTATTTTGCAAAGAAACAAAACAACTACTAGTGTTATTCATATCTTTTAACAAGTAGTTACGATATAAACCACACTATCAAGATAAGTAATGTAAAAATGTTGGCGATAATCATGATAAGTACACATGCATGATCAAGTTCGCGGCAAGAAATACGTCTATCATATTTCATATTCAAATTGAACAAAAGTTTTGTTATGATAATTCAAATTATTTTCTGAGTTGTGATATGAAATGAATCGTGTTACTGTATGACATTATTTCACCTTCATTTATCTGTTATAAGATTTATATACACAGGGAAATTTCTCTCAAATTAATTTCACGTTATTTTTGTAAATTTCATGTATAAATCATATAGTTCTCAATTCACGTGAAATTCACATGACAATTTCACGTGAGTTTCATGCATAGGCCATTTGAGGGGAATTTCGCGTGAAAATTTTTACGTGAATTTCATGTGAAATTCAATTGAAACTCACGTAAGCAAATGTTGCCTGTTTCGCAATGTAAATAGTGAGTGTTACAATGAATATCATATCTGATGAATTCTGCTTATATTACATGTAATTAAGATATCTTTATCCCTTTCAACAAAGTATGCACGTACATTGAATTGTTATAATCATTTATCATATTCCAAAGATGGTATGATTTTTTTTTAAGTTGATATTAATAACAACAACTTGTAATCTGTATTGTTTTCGGACAACTTGTAGGGTCAAAGCAGCAGCGTTTTTGAAAAGATTTGCAGCTGAATGACATTAGTTATAAAAAGGTTCAGGAATTTATAATTATCTTACGTAGATATTGGCAAGGGGTTCACGACTAGTATGGTTCACATTGAAAAATTTGAAAATGCATAAGCCTTCATAAGCACGTGTGTATGGTATGTGGTAAACGAAAATGACGCAACCATCTTAAGACGCAAAAAATATTACAAACAAATAAAGTGGTCAACAAACTGTCTTCAATAGTAAACATGTGTCTATTATGATGTATCAAGGGTTTAGTCTATCGAACCGATTACAAAACACAATATAGCATCAATGCGTATTTTCTATATGACAAATTCAGCAAAATAGGACAAACAATATTGACTGACAAGGTTCCGGACTCGTGACTTTATGACTAGGCCGCGAAAATGTGAGGGTTATGGACTCTAACATAAATTTCTAAAGGATCAGAAAATGTAACACAATTCAGTTGAACGTCATAAATGTATTCTAAATGCTAATATTGCCTTACAAATAGGGTCAAAATTAGCTTACTACAATACTTACACAAGTTCTCTTTTTTATTTAAAAACAATAATAATAATATATGGGTTACCAAGTTAAATAACTTCCTTAATGTCGTATTGTCTTTTAAAACTGTAATTAAACTGTTCAACATGCAATAATTCCTTGTTGAGTAGATGCAGTAGATGAAAAATTACAACACAGTAATGTACTAGTACATCCAGTTATGTGAACACTTTCGTGTTAATGAAATATACGGAAAGTTTGATAAACCTGTACTTAACCAGTTCTCGACTTCTTTTCAATTTCTTATAAATACTTTACCAAAGAACGTTAAACTATTAACCAGACTAGAAAGAAGTCTGATCCATACTTAACCAAGTCTGGAGGATGCTCTTCAAGTCTTTCCATTCTTAGACGTGTTCTTAATCTATCTCTGTATATTTTCTTTTCTATTTAGAGAATACATTTTAATAGATATGTTTCTTTTTTATTTCAAGTATGTGTACAGCAATGCATGAAAAGATAAAATGTCGCTGCATTATGGTATCATCATATTAATGGATGTTCGACGTTTTTTATTTTTCTCGAACTGACTACTTAATTCGTCTTGATATTTAAATACAAAACCCAAAAAAGTCATATTCCAGTATTCTTGTTATATTTTGTATAAAGAAACTTTAATGGCAATATTTTATTAGTGTTAAAGACCAATTTACAGTTCATGGTTTAAAGTGAAATTACTAAACACATCAGGCGATATTAAAGAGCATTCTTGATATTTACACATATAAATATAAATAAAAAGATACAAACAATTCAACCAAGTAATCATCCCCTAACGTTCATATTTTACCTCATATAATTCACTGGCAATGCATCACTGTCTCATCAACTTA